TTATTCAACCAAATGAAAATTAGTCCCACTATCTAGCATTTATCTGTTTCCAGTCTGTAGTGTATTTTCCTCTACATGAAGCAATGTTTTTTTTTTAATCCTAAACATGCTTTGTAGCAAACATTCCATGCTTCAAGAATCTTGAGGTCAACTTCCCTCCTTTCACTACCTCCCAAAATTACATAATAAAACTGTTATACAAGCTGAAATCAAGTTCACAACTTCATGAAATCATATTCCTTCAATTTAACTGTGACCTATAATAGCATAACTTCTATTGTTTTGTGGACTAATAAATTCAGCAAATTATCCATTGTTGGGTATCCCTTCGAACTTAAAAATGCAATGCACACAATTTTTGTCCTATCCTCACCTTATTCCCAAATTGGTTTTAAACTTATATAGCACTAAAACTAAACTATTTGAATATGCTGTATTTGCTTTGAGGTAGATCCTGGGGTAGCACTTCAACTCAAAAAAATGATCTTGTTCTTAAGAAGATTGGAGACCAGAGTTCTTGGGTACCCTGGTCACTTTCTGCCCATTCACCACTAATTATCCAAATATAAACTGGGATAGTAAAGTCTTTAATCGTTGCAACTGCAGAGTTGACTCTATTAGTACAGGGTAAATGCGTATTTGAGAAACATTTTGTTTTACTAGTCATGAGGAATGAAAGGATAGAGCCAAAATGTGATGGATGGTTTTCAGATACAAATCAGCCATGATTCCTTTAGATATCACAACAGACCTAAGTGGTCTTGTTCTAATATCTTATTCTATATCTTGCAGGGTCAGTCAATCCGTCCCACAACGCATGGCCTAAATACCAAACGGAATGTGTCTTTCCTGTTTAGCTGGCCTTTCAAAATCGGGCCCATCGTCCTCCTTATCACGCAGTTACATGCGGCTATCTTAATGCACTCTCAGATACAAATAGTGGTCAATGGGTCCACAACTGTCGCCCCGCTCGCCCGATATTGCCCACTGGGGGCCACAGAAGTACATAGATAGTTCGTGGCAAAAAGCGAGCATGCACTACTCCCAGACACTTCATAACTGACAACAACCGGGACTATAAACAAACCGCCTGGTACCTCCGGCTGAGGCGATCGGCACTAACGACCACATCTCCACTTAAACACGATACCCCACCCCCCCGACTCTCTCAGGGATCCAGCATCATCGGGACGACCCACGTAACCCACTGCAGGAGGCGAAGCGTTCGCGACGTCAGATACCCTTCACCCCGGGGGCGGGGCGGTGAACACGTTGCATGACCTTTGCCGCCGGAAGTGAGGCTCTCGCCGAGTGACCGCCCTCTCCGTCCCTGTGGGTGGCGGTGGGGAAACCGTGTGTAGCAGTTTGTAAAATCAGAGGCTTGTTGCATTTAGTCTGAAGGAGCGATGGCTGTTTGTGTCGCTTTGAAGCGGCCGGGCTTGTGGTGCAGGTTTACTGTGACCGCGGCTCGATTTAGTCGCACTGAGCGGGTGAGGTGCTGTTGTGAATAATGTGTTTTAATGAGTATTTCGGGGGCTCAGCTTCTAAGTCCAGCTGAATCGTGGAGACTTTCAACAAGTCAGATCGTGTCGAAATACACACTGAGTTCATGTTTGAGCTCTTGAACTCAGCGACCTTTTCATCCGTTTGTGGAATGTGAAAGATGGTGAAGCAAGAACAGAAGCAGGGCCAACTAGTCTTAATAGGATGAATTGTACTAGGCTTGAAACATTAACTGTTTTTCACTCCACAGATGCTGGCAGATCTGTTGAGTCTCTCCAGCTTCGCCACATTACGTAGCAAGTAGCCTTGACCTTCATGTTTTTAAAGTTATACAGTCAGCACACTTACAGCTCAAGACTGTTGCGTACATATGGTGAAGGAGCAGATTACGTGGTCGCATCCTGTTAGAAACAGAAGATAGGAGCAGGAGGAGGCCAAACGAGTCTGCTCCACCATTCTTCACGATAATGGTTGATCGTCCCTCTCAATAGCCTGCAAATAAGTCAACGTTTTTCTGGCTACCATCAGTTCTGAGGAAGGGTCACTGGACCTGAAACGTTAACTCTGATTTTTTTTCTTCACAGATGCTGCCGGATCTGCTGAGCTTTTCTGGTAACTTCTGTTTGTGTTCCAGATTTTCAGCATCTGCAGTTCTTTTGGTTTCTTTCAATATAGCCTAATCCTGCTTTCTCCTCATAACCTTTGATCCCATTTGCCCCAAGTGCCAAATCTCACTGCCTTTTGAATACTCTCGATGCTTTGGCATCAACTACTTCCTGTGGTAATGAATTCCACAGACTTATCACTCTTTGGGTGAAGAAATGTCTCCTCATTACTGTCCTAAATGATGTATCCTCAATCCTGTCAGTAATCTAACTACCTCTTGAATGTCTTAATTAAACCTGCCTCCACCATGCACAGGCAATACATTCCTAAGTTTAACCACTTGTATGAAAAGGTTTTTGTCCCTGCGGTTTCTTTTATCAGTTATCTTTACATTTGTGTTCCCTTGATACTATCAATGGTGGGAATAGTTTTTTTTAATCTACTCTGTGCAGACTGCTCATGATTTGGACCTTGACCTAAGAAAAATGGTTCTGAAATACCCACATAAATGTAGGCCTTTAATCCCTGTGAGTTGTAAGTATTTCTGGATCCCCTCTGATATCTTAATGTTGTTCCTAAAGTGTGTCGCTCTGTACTGAGCACACTATTCTAGTTAGGGCCAAACCAATATTTCTCAAACAAAAACAAATTACTGGAAAAGCTCAGCAGTTCTGGCAGCATCTGTGGAGAGAAATCAGAGTTATTGTTTTCACTGGACCTGAAATGATAACTCTGATTCCTCTCCACAGATGCTGCCAGACCAGCTGAGCTTTTCCAGCAATTTCTGTTTTAGTTTGATTTACGGCATTCACCGTTCTTTTGGTTTTTATCCAATATTTAACAAGTTTAATCTAATTTGCCTTTTCAGTTTAATGCCTACTAATAAAATTCTGGATACTCCTATGCTTTAATACTCGTTCAACTTGTTCTGCCATTTTCAATGATTTTATGTGCATGCACACCCAGATGCTTCTGCCTATGCCCCCTTTGCCTCTGGATGTTCTTCCTCACAACAATTCCTTTCAATTTTTCTTGTTAAATTTATGCTTCCATCTGACTGGCCATTCCACTAACCTGCCTACTTTTTTTGAACATCTCACGTTTTGAGTATTGAGTTTAGCATTGTTTGCAAATTTTGAAGTTGTGCCCTGTACGTAATGTAGATTATTACTGTATTTCAGGAATTGTGGGCGTCCCAGCACCAATCTCTGGGAAGCTCCATCCTGGATTCTTCCTGCAGTTTGAAGATGAACAGCGAGTGTTGCTTTTTCCGATCAGTCAGCTTGTATCTATTTGTTATTGTCTTATTCAGTTGCTCTAACTCTTACCCAAGCCTGTTGAGAAGTACTTAAATGCCTTTCGGACATCTGTATTCATCACAACAATAGCATTACCCTCGTCAGCTATTTCCTATCTCACTAAAACAAATTAAATTTGATATTTTTTTGTTAACAGTTTGACGCTGAATTGTCATTTCTAGAAGTTACCTCACCACTGAGATTAAAATGTCTGGCCTTTACTTCCAATGTTATATTTACACTTTTTTTTGACAATTGCAAATCTCTAGTTCATTGGTGCCAGCTGATTGGAAAATTATGACCAGTGCCTTTGCAAGTTGCGCTCTCATCCCTTCATATCCTTCAATATGTTTTGTCTGCTCCTGGTGTTTTTAGTCTGTCTAATCCATGCAGCCACTTTGTCAGTTTTAAACACTTCAGTTGTTTGAACTACCTCCTTCATGTGGGTAACAATTTTCTGATGCAAGTATTCATTTCCTACTTCAGCCATTCCCCTGTTTAAATTTTTTTTGATCCTTAGCTGCCCCCACTCCTTAAATAAGTGTGACTCCTTACACAAGTATGCATTAAACCACACATTCCATTGACTATTTGTAGTAGTTAGTATGCCAGTTGTGCTCAACCAGCATATACTTGCAATCTTCAAATCACTTGTGTCCATCGAAAGGTATAATTCTGCTATTGGACACTTATTGTTAGTAGTCTGAATTATTAAATATCAGAAATCATTTTGAGATCATTGAGTAGGGCTGTTGTAGCACAATGGTAGTGTTCCTACCCTTGGGTCAGACAATCTGTTCAAATCTCACCTGCTCAAAGTGTGCCTGAAGAGGATGACTTTTTAAAAAAAAATTAGACATATCGATCTGTCTACCTCTAGCCCTGGTTACAATCTTTTGCAGCTTTCCTAGACCATGCAGATGTATAATGGTACCATGGCTTCAATGATATATTAAGCACAGAGATTTGAGAATTTGATGATGTCTGTTGTGGTGCAAGAGTAATGAATTTACCTCTGAGCAAAGAGGCCTAGGTTCAAGCCCCATCTACTCCAGAGATGTCGCAGTATCTCTGATTAGTTGTTTATTTAGGCTGTGTGTAGGGCTGTTGTGGCACATTGATAGTATCCCTACCTCTGGATGAGGTGACATGGGTTCAACATGCATTTGCTGCAGAGGTGTTGCATAATAACTGAAGAGCTTGATTAGAAAATATCTACATGAGCCCATGAAAGGCTTTTGTAGTGCAATAGCAATGTCCGGACCACTGAGCTAGGAAGCCTGTATTCGAGTCCTGCTTGCACTAAAAGTGCACAATAACAGTTCTGAACAAGCTGAATAACAAACAAAATCCAGTCTGTGTGCTGCATTTGTGCACGCTAGAAGCTACATATTAACATACAGGACCCTATTTTATGACAAAAAGGTATTTACATGCATGGCATCATTGTCACTGGGTAAAATATGTAACAAGGACAGACAATATTTGCTGCGTTCTGATAACAACCTGATCAATCATAGTCTACTGCTTTGTCTGAGAACTAAGATCAACAATTAATCATGCTTGCTGTTTCTCTATAGTAATGGCCTGACCAATTAGCACCCATTTCTCATTCTTCTAATTGATGTCCCTTTTCTCAGATCTGTTCCTGGTGTCCTAGTCATAGGAATTTATATTATTGATTTTTCTGATTCTGCTTCCTAACAGTACTGTACGCTACTTCTTGACAACAGTCTGAGACTAAACTGGACTGTTCTGATGAAAAGTCATTTGATTCAGCATTAACTCAGTTGGCGAGATGGTTTGTTTGCAGTGTAAACTACTGCCAATAGCACAGGTTCCATTCCTGTATGAGCTGAGGTTACCATGAAGGACTCACCTCCTCATTCTCTTCTGAGGCATTTTGACCCTCCGATTAAACCACTACCAATCATCTCCCTTTGAGAGCAGCCCTATCGTTCGCAATGACTATGGTGACAAACTTTAACATAAAAATGTGTACGTAAACTCCTGAAAAATTATTATAATTAACATCTAATTAAAGTATTGACACTGCAATGGAATTTAACTGCTACAATGTAGTCTGATCTGTTGTAAATTCATTAGAAGTTCCAAGAAAATGGAGAGACCAGCAATTTACATGTCAGAATGGAAGATCAGGAAGATCAGCAGGATCTGTGTGGAGGTTCTTGACAAATACATATTTCTGGAATAAAAACTTTTGAAACCTTGATTCCCTCAGCTGTTGCATTCTTAACTGTAAAACCCAAACTGCAGTAGATATGAAAACGTAACTGGATTCATGTCAATTTGGATCCAAGCCGTTTGGTGCAAAGCACCTTTATTGTGGACTTTATTGGCTTCCTAATCTTCCAGTATTCCACACATTGGTCCAGTCGGTTTTTCCCTTTATTCAGTTAATTAATCCCAGTCACCACATTAACTACTTGCTATATCATCAGATTCCCCCTTCTCTAGAAGTAAAACTTTTAAGAAATAGAGTCTTTGAACAAACCTAATAAAAATCAAGCTTTATTTCTTATTCTACATCTTATATCAATCAGTAGCATTTTTTTCATATTCAACCTCCCATATTCCTGCTGTAAACAACTAAAAAGTTTAATCAAAGCAACCCAAACAATTTTTTTCTTGTTCTTAAATCTTTTTTACTTACGGTATCCCCTTTAGAGATTTTCAAATAATTTCTTGACCCAAGCATCTTGTGTAACTGTTTAACAACTGGCAATGTACATCAACCCACTTTATCTTGGAAATCTCTTCTCTTTCTGAGAGTTCCTTTCTGATAGCAAGATCAATTCTCAGTCATTTCTCAACTACACCCTATGTTGAATATACATTGTCCCAAGAAAACTGTTTTCTGCATAACATTCTTTGGGCAAACATTTCTCATTACTCCCAAAGAGAATTTCCTTTAGAACATCGGATATATACATCCCCATGTTCTCATATCAATGCTTCAGTTGTTACATTTAACTATGGTATGTTTTTTTGTTTTTTCTGAAAAAAACTTTTTTTCCAATCTTCACCTTTATGCAACCATCTTCTGGTACCAATGTCACTTCAGATCCCCATCAGTCATTGCAACCGAAACCAAGAGTTCTTTTCTAATTGGAGGCATCTTCCTTAAGTTTATTAACTACCTTTAGTCTTACAGCTCTTTCCACACAGCAGTCCTACTTAAGCTTTTTTTTCTACCCAAGAGGCCCAGCAGTAATGCTTATATTTTCCCCAAATCACCTCTGGCTGTGTATGTTTTTTTTTAATATACAGTGACACAATTAAAAGTGTGCAAAGACTTTATATTCATTTTTTCCCACCACCAGGAAAGCACCATGTGGTTAATGAAACACTAACAAGCAAAGCCTGGTAAGGACGATGCCACCATCTAAGTAGTGCTGAGGAGGTGTAGGGAACTAAAGCAAAATGGAGTTAGAGGGAGAAGAAAGCTAACAGCTGATATTCCCAGGTGGTCTCCCATTCAAATATTGACTAGGCCTGAGTCTGCTTAGCTTCTGGATCAGGCATGTTCAAACTAGCATAGCCATAGGTCTTGAGCCTCTCTTATGTTGATGCAATCAACTAATTAATCAATTAACACCAATCATCTGATTAACTACTTGCAATGTTAACTATCCAAAGATGAGCCTTTTAATTTGTAAGCTTTATGAAAAAGTCTTATTTATATCCTTTGACATGTATTTTCATATATCAGTAGTCTAGCATTATAAGTAGTACATTGACTTTTATATTATGAATAAATGCAACTCTGTTTGTGCACAAGATCCTTTGAGGCAAATTACCAGTTCAGCTTTCATGGAGTATGCTGATAGATGTATTGGTACTGAATTTTAAGTTCTTCAATTAAACATACAACTGTTATTTGTGCAGTCTGGAGAATAGCTTGAAAGTAAGAGGGCTTTAAACAAGCACCTTTAAACTTGCAAGTGTCTTGCAAGTTATTACCGTAAGATTACTTGATGTAAACAAAATGTTAGGTTTTGAGTTATGTATAGTGGAAGTAACCATACATATTGTTGAAAATTGTGCAGTTTATATCCTTCATTAAAGGAAACAGAGGTAATACTAGTGAAACACTTTAAATTTTTATTTTTTGGGTCATACAAAATGGTGTTGATTATGTTGTATTTTTGCAGTTTTTTAATCAAGGAGCCAAGGTTCTGTACCAAAGTAATGACTCTACTCAAGTCGTAAAGCTCTCTGAAATGCAAACGCTGATGCTGCCACCTGGAACGTTTAAGGGTAAACTAGCTTTTATCACTGGTGGAGGTACTGGACTCGGGAAGGGAATGACAACTGCCTTGTCCTCTTTGGGTGCTGAATGTGTTATTGCAAGTAGGTAAGTAAATGAAACGTAGTGAATGATGTTCTTCAACTTTGCTTAACTTCAGTACATTGTAGCCATAGCTGTCTTCTCCTTAGTTATCCACTTAGGGTACATTAAAAATGAACCAATTGGTAGTTTTAGGTCAACTTCTCCAAGGCTACCAGGGATGAATAATAAATGCTGGACTAGCCAGCAACATCGACATCTCATGAACGAATAAAAACAAATCGAAGCTTCACGAGATGCATGCCAAGATTTCTCTGAATTGCATTAGAGCTAAATATTTTCTTGACAGGTTGTGCCACTTAAACAATTACTTTCAGTTCCTTGATATATTAGTTTTTATTGTGGAACTGAGGTGCACAGTTCGTCAAAGGTTGCAAATTTAATTTTTGTTTTATGCTGAGTTTGTTAGGGGGATTCCAATATTCTTCAGTGTTCCTGGGTTACAAGAAGGGGGCAAAGAGAAATCTCCCTCTAGCCACAACTCATTGTTGAAAAAAGGTATCATTTTGGGTCAAAAACAAAAGATACTGGAAAAGCACAGCAGGTCTAGCACCATCTGTGAAGAGAAATCAAAATTAATGTTTTTGGTCTGGTGATTGTTCCTCGGATCTGATGGTAGCTAGGAAAATGTCAGTTCACATGCAGAAGATAGGGTGGGGGAGGGGGTAAGGTGTAAACGATCAGTGGGGATAGAGCCCATTGAGAGAGAAGAATAGTGGGATGAACAAAGGAGTTGATAACGATCTGGCTGGGAGGGTGAATAGACTGTTACTGGGAACTGTTAGTGGCCAACAATACGTAGTGTGTAATGGCAGACAGCATGATAACAAGGCCTGTGTATGTGGTAGGGAGCTAAGACATGGGGGAGTTCAGGCCCTAAAATGATTGAACTCAATATTGCGTCTGAAGGTCTGCCGGGTCCCCAAGCAGAAAATGAGGTGGTGTTCTTCCAGTTTGCACTGAGCTTCGTTGGAGCACTGCAGCAGGCCTGAGACAGGGATGTTGGCCAGGGAACCAGGTAGTGTGTTAAAGTGGCCGGCAACTGAAAGCTCAGGGTCTTTTTTGTGGGCAGAACATAGATGTTCTGTAAAGCAGTCACCCAGTCTACATTTCATTTCCCCAAAGTCAAGGAGACCACATTGTGAGCAGTGAATGCAGTAAAGTGCTGCTTCACCTGGAAGGTATGTTTGGGCCCTTGGATACTGAGGAGGGTGGAGGTAAATGGCCAAGTGTTAGACCTTCTGCTATTGCAGGGGAAGGTGCCGTGGGGCTGTGGGGGTTGTTGGGAATGAAGGAGGAGTGGACAAGGGTGTCCCAGAAAGAACGGTCCCTGCGGAAAGTGGACAAGGGAGGAGAGGAGAGGGGAGTATGTGATTGGTGGAGGCATCTCATTGGAGGTGACAGAAGTGGCTGGTGGGATGGTAGATAAGGACAAGGGGACCCTATCACTGTTGTGGGAGGGAAGAGATAGGGGTGACGGCGTAAGTGAGGGAGATGGGTCGGACCCTGTTGAGGGCCCTGTCTACAATGGTGCTGACGAATACATGTTTTGTTCTCAGCGAAGATCTCAGCCTTATCCCGTTGCGTCCCCACCTTAATGAATTCCGGGCACAACATGGCTTTGGACTGTTCATCGTCTTCGTATCCATGCTCATTTCTTTGGACACGAGTCCTCTTGCTGTTGCACAGACCCTTTTGCACAACTCCAACACTCTCCTTCCATCTGGACTCCTACCTCTAGCCTTTTACCTGCGCTCGATCTATTACTTGAGAACTGTTGACGTAGCTTTGGTCACCTCAATTTCTCTGCCCCCTTGACCAATCTAACCTATCTCCTTCTGAACTGACTGTACTCCATACGCTTAGCTCCAACCCTAACTTTGTCATTAAGCCTGCTGATGAAGGTGGTACTGTTGCAGTGCAACTTACTGACCCCTACATTGCAGAGGCTTAGCGCCATCTGTCAGATACCTCCACCTACTTTCTCCTGGACCATGACCCTACCAGGGCAGAGCAAGCCGTTGTATCCACTGCGTTCAGTGATCTCATTTCATCTGATGATTTCACCCCGCCTCACCAATGCCTCCAAGCTGATAGTCCCCCAGCCCCACACAGCCTGCTTCTGCCTCCTTCCAAAAATCCACAAACAGGACTGCTGGGGCAGACCCATTGTTTCAGCCTGCTCCTGCCCCCCAGAATTCCCCTCTTCCTACCTCGACTTGGTCTTTTCTCCCCTGGTCCAGTCCCTGCCCATGTACATCTGTGAGTCCTCTAGCACTTTACCCCAGTTTTGGAATTTCCAGTTTGCAGGCTCCAGTCACCGCCTCTTCACCATGGACGTGCAATCCCTTCACACGTCCATCCCCTATTTTTGCTTCCTGGAGCAAAGGCCTGAAACTTCCCCACCCACCACCACCCTCCTCCACTTGGCTGAGCTCATCCTCCCCCTAAACAACTTTTCTTTTAATTCCTTTCATTTTCTTCAGGTCAGAGGGTTGGCCGTGGGTACTCGCATGGGCCCGACTTATGCCTGTCTCTTTGTGGGGTACGTGGGACATTCCTTGTTCTAGTCCTATTCTGGGCCCCACCCACAACTCTTTCTCTGATATATTGATGATATCGTCAGTGCTGCTTCCCTGTCTTGTCTGGAATTGGAAAAGCTCATCAATTTCACCTCCAATTTCCACCCTGCCCTCACTTTCACCTGGTCTATCTCTGACTCCTCCCTTCCCTTCTTTAAAATCTATGTTTCTGTTTCTGGGGATAGACTGGCCACTAATATCCACTATAAATCCACTGGCTCCCACAGCTACCTGGACTACTATATACCCTGCTTCCTGTAAAGACTCCATTCCATTCTCCCAGATCCTCCGTCTCCGTTGTATATGTTCTGATGAGGCTAACTTTGACAAGGGAGCCTCCGAAGTGTCCACCTTCTTCCTCAACTGAGGGTTCCCCAGGATCTTTGTCGACAGGACGCTCTACCGGGTCCAACCCATCTCCCGCACACCCACCCTCATCCCCTTTCTTCCCTCCCGCAACAGCGATAGGATTCCCCTTGTCCTTACCTATCATCCCACCAGCATCCACATCCAGAAGATAATCAGCCGCCATTTCTGCCACCTCCAGTGAGACGCCACCACCAGACCCATATTCCTCTCCCCTCCCTTGTCCTCCTCCCGCAGGGACCGTTACCTCTGGGACACCCTGGTCCACTCTGCCACACTCCCAACACCCCCAAGGCACCTTCCCCTGCAACCACCAAAGGTGAAACACCTGTCTATTTACCTCCTTCCTCCTCAGCATCCAAGGGCCCAAATATACCTTGCGTGTGAAGTGGCACTTTACCTGCACTTCCCAGAATCTAGTCTACTGCATCCGCTGCTCACCATGCCGTCTCCCCTACATTGGGGAAACAAAGTGTAGAATGGGTGACAGGTTCGCAGAATATCTACGTTCTGCCCGCAAAAAAGACCCTGAGCTTCCTGTTGCCTGCCACTTTAACACCCCTCTGTCTCAGGTCTGCTGCAGTGGCTCAGCAAACATATCACATAATCTGCCATTGTGCACTAACTATTGTTAGCCACTAACAGTCTCCATTAACAGCTATGCACCCCCCTAGCCAGATCATTATCGATTCCTATTTCTGTCCAACTGTTCTCTCTCTCTGGGCTCTATCCCCACCTATCATCTACACCCACCCACTCCCCCACCCTATCTTCTCCATATAAACCAACATTTTCCTTGTTCCCATCAGTTCTGAGGAAGGGTCACCAGACCCAAAACGTTAACTTTGATTTCTCTTCACAGATCCTGCCAGACCTGCTGAGCTTTTCCAGCAACTTCTGTTTTTGTTTCTGATTTACAGCATCTGCAGTTCTTTCGGTTTTTATTTAGTATCATTTTGGGTATTCATTAAGTGTCTGACTTGGCTGTGATACTCCTTACAGAGGAATAGCTGCATAGATAAAGAATATCCAATTGGATGAGAAACCATAGCTGCTCAGTATTTATGGTTCTGTAACCTGTAAGAGAGATGCCATTCTTAGAACAAGAAAGACATTTTTATGTATTAACATTACACATAGATAATCTGTGCTGTGGCAAGAACATTTGGTCAGTTCTTTTGTACAAGGGAAGAGTTACCAAGTTCATAATGATAACTCAGGGAGCCCTAACAACAGTGTATGTATGTACGTATTTGATAAAGTCAGGAACAGGCTAAGTTGTGATATCGTCCACAAGAAAACAGCCTACTGCCATTCAACATCAAGACTTACTTGAGTTATGTGTGTGTGGGCATCCTTCTGAAGGATGACCATTGAGTGCACAAACTCTAAGTAATGAGGACATCAACACGTCCAGAAGTCAGAGAAAACTGGAGGTTTAAAAAAAGGAGCACAAGTATCTGGAAATTAGTTAGTATTACATATACAATGAACAAAACATATACGCAGCCTTTCCCACACAGGGCACAGTCCACCAAAACAGTACAATAAAGTCAAGACACCACACTCGTACAATATTTATGTGGTTACATCTTTACAATCTACAGTGAAGTAATGGTGCCTGCCCCTGGCTTCATACAAAGCTACTCTGAAGGTCCAGTGATTTCTGTATCTGGACTTTCCCTTTCCTGATGATAGGTTAAAAGGACACCTCCAGCCATCCAACAGCACTGATGTCAGCAAGCAAGGTAATTATCCAATCACAATGAAACATTCGTTACCCTTTAGATCTACTTTAATTTTTCAGATAACAAAATAAATGATTGAATAAGGACAAGCCAACATAAAGATAAACTTTTCATTAAATGTGTGGCTTTTTAAAAATTTTAAATGAAGAAATCTGATATTTCACAAACATTAACTCAGTTTAGTAGACAGCATTTCTGCATTGTTCTGTGCATGTGTGGACTCCCAAAGATGCTGTCAGTTTCAGTGGAGTAACTGTTGAACACTGATAGTTGTTAGCATTGCCACCACAAAATTTAGATCAATAATCCAAGCATGCATTTACTCATAGAATCCCTACAGTGTGGAAACAGGCTATTCGGCCCAAAAAGTCCACCTTACCCGAAGAGCAACCCACCCTGTACTCCTACATTTTCCCATAGCTAACCAACCTAATTTACACACCCCTGGACACGATAGCAATTTAGCATGGCCAATCAGCCTAACCTGTGCACCTTTGGACTGTGTGAGGAAACTGGAGCAGTCAGTGGAAACCCAAGAAGATGTGGGAGAATGTGCAAATTCCATACGGACAGTCACCTGAGGGTGGGATCAAACCCAGGTCCCTGGCGCCGTGAGCCAGCAATGCTAACCACTGAGCCATCGTGCCGCCCTGAAGAATAATTAGCAACTAAATAAGTATAAATCACAGCACTTCTCACAGTGTTAGTTACCTGACATTCTGATTTATTTTGCAAGGATGGCAATGAGCTTAGAAACCAAGGAATGTGCACATTCCTTGAGATTTTTCTTAACAAAAAATCTATTGACCTCAATCTTGAAATCTTTAATTGACACATCATCCACAATCTTTTGAGTGAGGGAGTTCCAGATTTGTATGACACTTTACATGAAAAAACGATTCTTGCTGATTTTCACTCAAAAGGGGACTACTGTATTATAAAGTTTATGCTGTATATTACAGGCCTCCCAAACCCAAGGAAGTGCCCTGCAGAATTCCTTAAACATTTTAAACGCACCTAATATATCGCTTGCTGAATTCAAAGGAATAGTAGCCAAGTTTATGGAACTTGTGGCCTTATGGAACATCATCAATCTGGTGAATCTCTGCAGGATGATAGACAATCCAGCATAAATGTAGATCAGGAAGGTAATGCTTAATGGACAATGAAAATGAAAGAAAAGTTAGCATTGGAATGGTAGTTGTACAGGGCAGCACTCCTAGGATTATAAGTTGGAATTTGATCAGGCATCGAGGTCTCGCCTGCTGGATGGGAGTCAGCGAGAGACCCATGCTGCCTTTTCATGAAGGCCTGTTAAACCATGAGGTACTCGGGTAGTGATGAGGCCAGCAGTGGCCTTTCTCTTGGAATCAAGACCTTGGGCATGGATGCCCTTTTGACTAAAAGCTGCTGGCCAATCAGAGACCGCCAGCTTTTGTGCTCATTGGTGCCACAGGGGAAGCAATGGTTGCATGTCAATAAGACAGGCTCTGGATTCTCAAGGCTGCAGGGTGACTAGGCCCAGCGTAAGTTACGTCAGCAGCAATTTCATGAGGTGGGGTCCTGGGAAGAGAAGTGCAGAGAGTCACATGATTTTAGCTGTGTGCAAATTATGTGGCAACAGGCTGCCTGCAGCTAGGTTAATACCAAGATCTGTGGAATAAGGCCTTTGAGTGCTCATTAATTGGCCACTTAAGTGCCTCAATTAGCATAAAGCAGGAAAAGCAACCATCAGCTGTCCCATCTACAGCCTAATTCTGGCCAAGATGGAAGGTGATGGTGTTTAGGTAGACAAAGGTGCCTGCTCAAGCTTTTCACCTGAGAACAGAAGATATACAACAGGAGGACCCACTTCCACCCACTGTGCCAATATCAACACTTTAAAGGGATAATCATATTAGTCTTATTCTTCCCGTCCTTTCACTATGGACCTGCAAATATTTAGCCTTTGGAAGTTATTGTTCAAACTATTTTCTTCTTTCAGGCAGTGCATTCCAGATCATAGTTTGCAGTGTTTAAATAAAAAGAGCTGTTTGCTGATGTCACCTCTTTTCTTTTGCTACTTGATTTAACTGTGTCCTCTTGTTACCAACACTTATGTTGTTTTGAAGCCTATTTATTCTATAAACACCTAAGATTTTGAGCACCTCATCAAATCTCTCCTTTAACCTTCTTTGCTATGAGGTGAACAAAATTGGTATTCATAAATTAGTTACTTTAGAAGTGAAGTCATTCTTCTAGCTAAACTTAGCAGCAAATTTAGCCATGTCATGTTTATCCATTTAATTAATTGTTAATTTGTTTTGATGCTGGTGAGGGCCAAGTGGGTCTGGGCATAACTCTGTCATGTAATTAATTCTTCTTTAGCCACTAGCCTTGGTTTAATGTTACAATTTGAGGTTGTAACTCTGACACTGCAGAACTTCTACTGCATTGGTACATTTAGTTTATGTGCTCTCGTAAGAATGGAGCTTTAGTAATTGGAAACAAAGAAAATCCTCAAACTCTTGACAGGTATTAAATGTTTGGGATTTAAGGCTCGGGTGGGTGGAAGAATTTAAGGCAATAGTTGGTGGTCATGAAAGGAGTTTAAGATTATCTTTTCCTACCAGAATGATCCTGGAATAGTAAGCATTTTGGAAAAAGAGAGCAAGACACTGATGTGGTCAAGGTAGATCTAATAGTGGGTGGAGAGACCAACTGTAGGTTGTGGTCCCTGACCCCAAGAAAGTGAAGGGATGATGTCATGAACAACTCCCAATAAGAAATGGTGACTTTTGGTCATTCCAAATTGATAAGTATGATTGTGTAAACATTTGTCAAAACCATAGGTCCTTGCATTAAACATAAGAGGTTAGATCATAAGATAAAGGAGCATGATCAGGACATTTCAGACCATTGAGTCTGCTATGCTATTCAATATGGCTGATATATTTCTCTACCCGTGTCTGACCCAATAATACTAGTTGCTATCAATTTCAGGTTGCCAATGAAATAAAATTGCCCTGCATCTGCCAAAAAATCAAAATTAATTTCTTACATTAGAAATATCTGCCTTCCAGAAAACTGGATGTTTTGAAGCAGACAGCAGAAGAAATCTCTTTGCAAACTGGAAACAAGGTAATTGGTTGTAATTTCAATTTAGAAGTAACTTTACTAACAATTGAATTCATTGTGCATGTCTCTCTGTCCTCACTAGAATGTACATGGTTTTATTGAAAGTAGCTTTCAAACAACTAGGCACTGGAGCATGTGCAGTTCATCAGATCAATCTGATTGTCACCCAAAATTTGTCAGAAAAGTTCCACGATAAGTGAACAAATTTAGTCATGTTTTGCACCTCTAAACTCATTATAAATACCTTTTCGTTTTTTTGAAATGATGCAAAGGATTATTCTGGACAAAGATCTCATTCCACATCTTGAATTTTTTTATAATTTTGGAGCACAGTTATGGATATAAATTCATTAAGTTGTTCGCTGAAGTTTCTTCAGTTCCACTTCTTACAGAAGGTGCTGCTGTTTCCCCAGCTTCCCTTTTCATCTGGGTATTAATGTGCTACAAAATTTGTTGAGTTAAAATATCTTAAAATTTTACTGGGTGTACAATTATAGATTTTTAGTATAAGAATCCAATACTATTTTTGAATGATTATGCAGCAAAAATATAGTGAGGTTGTTGGAATTTTAAGTGAGACCATGATTAGAAGTAATGAACAATAAGCTGAGTGATATTTTCAATGTTTGTCTAAAAGAAAGTGTTCTTGTGATAAACAAAGTGGAGTCAACTTTAGGAGCCAAATCAAATTACATGCTCTGTTTCTCATCTAGAAATTTACTTGTACTAACTTCTGCATGAGTGTAGCACTATGAAAAATGCACTAGAAGACTTACTTAAGAGATGAAACTGTGCATTGAAATCAGCTGAGAATTTTGATGTTTGGATATTTCACATATTGCCTTTGTATAATTAGTTTTAGTTTCTCATCTTCATACTGTTCAGCTCTTTCCAGCTGATGTTCTGTTTGGTTGCTAATTAAGGAAGATCTCAACTGGAAATGATGCTGAAAATGGATCATTCAGCAGCTGCAACTGATTTATACCTGAGATAGGGCATGTTATCTTCTGAAATCATTTTCTACTTGTACAATGAATATATTTATAATTTTCCTACAAATAATAAAAAACAAGAATCACTACAGTCTGGCAACATAGCTTGAAAGTTTGGAGTACATTACCTCATTACTGAATTTTAGTTCCATCTGCATGATGTCCAACGTTCTATTCTATGCTCACTGTAAATAATTTCAGCACCAAATCCATTTTATATATTTTTTTCTTACATTGTCTGCTTTCCATTCTGGGTATAGTTAATTTATTTCATACAAAGGAAAAATGTATTGATTTAACACTTTTTAAAGAAGGACATAATACAAATAAAAACAACTTCCTTTAAAATTACGAAATAATGCAAGACTTGAATTTGCTTTTATTTTTGCTATATTGTGTGATGAGTCCACTACCCCTCCAACCATCTAGTTGCAGGAATCAGGCTACTTCACTGGAAGTGTCCTTTTACTTGAATGCTAGGATCAGCTCAGTGTTGAGTATTCAAGTGTAGCTAGTTAATCAAGATGAAGTTTTAGTACTAATATGTAAAGGAAAAGTGCTGATTGTCTTATATAAAATGTGAAATGGGATATTTGTCACAAATTGCCCAGATGAACATTTATTTCCACACGAACAAATTGTCCTGATTGTATTTGTATTTTGATACAGCAATTGAAATATACTTTTCAGTGTCAGGAATGGTGTGAGACAGTAGTAAAACTGGAAGTATGCTGGTGTTGATAAATCAGTTGCCTGTATCACTTAACTTGTTTGGAAAAGTAAATTGGTTATCAGTATAACTTGCGGTCAATTCAGTCCAGCCTGACAAAGTTCAAAGTACGGCCCTATGTTTGTTATTGACACCAATGGTCTGTTTTCATGCTGGTTGTAATGGATTTCTCCCAACTCTGTAATTTTATTTTTGCCAGCTCAATCTTATGATGCTGACCAGTTCATGTTTTTAGAGGAAGGGTCACCAGACCTGAAACGTTAACTCTGATTTTTTTTTCACAGATGCTGCCAGACCTGCTGAGCTTTTCCAGCAACTTCTGTTTTTGTTAGTAATTCATGTTTTAGGCTTGCATAAGGTATTTAAGAAAATATAAGTTTTGACTTTTAAGATGAACTTATCCTATTCAATTGCTGAATAATTTTCACCATATATCCTACTAGTCTATAAGTTTTGTGTTGATTCTCTACAACAGTTTGAAAACATTTTGATTGAATTTTGTGGTAATAATAATAAATTGTGGCAAACCATGCTCTCCATTACAGAGTAAATCAAACAGTGTCCTAGGACTTGGCACATATCACAAGGAAATTGGACATTTGCTTTCTGATTTGCAATATTCCTCCACAAGCCATTTTAGTTGTACCTCACAAAGAAAACTGACATTGAAATTGATACAAAAATGTGAAGTTGCTGCACTTTCATGCCTTTATCCACTAAACACACTTAATATATGTAGGCGTAAGTGAATTTTGCTGGCATTTATTAAAAAAAAAGGAGAAAAGAAGCAAGATTAGGCCAAGCAGCTCCTCAAGCCTTGCCTCCACCGTTTACTAATTTCAAAGCTAATTACTTACAAACAACCTGTTTGGCACTGAAAATCTATTTTCTTGTCAAGAACTTTTTAAAAGATTTCTTAATGTTTTTCCTTTTCTCCTACATTCTCCCTCTTTGTTTCATTTTCTGTATATTATTTTGCAATTGGTTGATTATTCTACTTTATACTTCCTGATTTGGACTGCATATGTCACAGAGGATGCGTCAATCTGATCGGTTCAAAAGACATTAATTGCTCCTGGCGTCAGATATGAGAGTAAACTGCTCCTCCAAAGTCTGCAGAATTCCTGGATGTCTGGGAACTGTAAGCTTAGTAAGCAGTGAGCATAGTTCTTTCAGTAATCTCTATGAATTCCAGACCATTAACTCTCTTCCCCTGCTGTAACAGAGAGATTAAGAATGTATAGTTTCTGTCTTTGCTAACCTTAGGTAAAATTGACTAAAGGGGAAAGTAGTGAACACCATAACACAGGCCAAATCCCTTAATTTTAATTGCTCCCTTAAAATTGTTACACTTTTCTTCTAGGTTCATGCAATTCAGTGTGATGTGAGAGATCCAAACTCTGTGAAATCTACAGTGGAGCAAATGTCTAAAGTGGCAGGACTTCCTGATGTGAGTACACCAATTGAGCATATTTAAAGGCTTCAATGTATGATCCTGACATTGGAACAAACTCACTGCAAAAACACAGTTGAGAAAATAGAAACCTCACAGTGTTGAAAATTTTCACTCTCCTTGTGCCAACTATATCTATAGTCTTGTTTCGGTTGAAGAGATACACCTATCAGATTTTTGGTATAAGAGTTAGAACTGGAGTATTCAGGTGTGAATTAATTGGTGTTAATGTGAAACATTTACATTATCTTGACTTTGTGAAGCATTTTATGTAGAGCATGTATGTATCAGAATTGCTATTAGGGAGCTGGCAGAAACACATCAGGCCACATGGCTGTTCTGTGACTCTTATGAAATTAGGGCCAGTTAAAACTACAGCTAAAGCAAACAGTATACATTTACAAAGATGTTGCTAGGGTTGAGGAGTTTGAGCTATAGGGAGAGGCTGAATAGGCTGGGGCTATTTCCTGTAGAGCACCAGAGGCTGAGGTGTGACTGGATAGGTGGAAAGGAAACTCAAAGAGAGAGGAAAAATTTATAAGGCGGACAAAGGGATTGAGAAAGTAAGGCTAGGGTAAAAATGAATGTGATGATAGGGGCTGCTATTGAGTGGAAACAGGTTGGTTGTGCTGAAACCAGCACCTGACAGCACCTGACATGTGGGGATTGATAAAGCAATGGAAGGTGGTGTTCAGGCTCTAAAATTATTAAACTCTATATTGTGTCATAAAGACTGTAATATCCCCAAACAGATGATGAGGTGTTGTCTACTCATTCTTGCCAACTCCTTTCACCCACTCATAGTCCCCGTTATCACTTAACTCCTTTTCTACCCTGGCTTATTATCTTAATCCTTTTGTCCAGTTTTTTTTCTGTTGCTCTCTGGGATCCCTCTCTGCATATCTGCTGAATTCCTACCCACTCCTTCTTCCAATTTTCCTACCTGCTATCAGTTCTAAAGGAAGGTCATTGGACTTGAAACATTAACACTGTTTGCTGTTCACAGAAGCTGCCAGACCTGCTAAGTTTCTCCAATTTCTGCTTGAGTATTCACATGTAGCACTAGTTTGACTTGTGCCAATATAAAATGTCATAGTCAAGATCGATCTGTAGATCAAGAGTTTTCAGCTGTGGCATTTTAAGGTCACCTTCCCTGTGTCACTTCCTAGGCTATAATAGTATCAATCACTTGAATAAGGTTTGATTTGCTACTGGTTTAAAATCTCAATGTCCTGTGGATTTATCAATTTCAATCAACAGCCTTAATGATGTTCAAAGATTGGTGAATTGAAATATTAATACTTCATAGATCCTAGTAGTCAGCTTTACAGTTGGATGAAGCAATTCCACCCATCTGTGCTCAAAAAACAGCTTGACATTTTGTGACCGCAACATTAATTTTGCTGGCCAGGTTATTCTCCCAGCACTTCAACAATAAGCTGCTAAAGTCTTGTAGTGGTTTCACTGATCCTGTTCTCAACAGCATTGAAATAGATTTGTCTGATGCAGCAACAAGGTACTGATAATTCATTTGTTCATTAGTTAAGTACCATCATTTGGTTTTGACTGAGAAATATCTTTGGCTTTCATGTACACACTGGTATGAGTTGTGTATGATTTATTCCTGAGTGACTTATAAAATGTTCTATTTTTGAGAGTGTGTGAAACCAGTTTATTTCTTGAGGTGCCGTTGATGTGATCTGTTGCATGTAAAGCATGTTTGTGGAAATGTTTGAGTGGAGCTTTCAATCTTTTAGTTCATTCCTGACATAGATAATAAGGTTGGAAGAAGGAGGTTTCCTGTCCCCAGTGGGTGTCTTTGCCTGTAATGAATTTTGTAGACTGGCTGTCTCCTTTTCCATTTCGTTAGAATGTAGAATATGTTGTTTGTAAATTACTGTCAACCATCTTGATGTAGGTTGAAATCACTTGACTGTTTGAAAAATGTGTTTATAAAAATCCAATTCCTGTTTTCAACCTGAGGGATCAAACTCAATATTTGACATAAACACAAGCTCCTGCAATTACTTTAAATTAATTTATAGAAAAAAATAAAGTTTTGGGCACACAAAGTTAATTTTACGAAGTATTTTGAAAGCTGAAGGAAGGTTTGTTACTCTGTTGTTTTGCAGGTGCATATGTTTTACTGCTGGAGGTTTTTCTTTCGTAGCGATCAAGATCCTTTGTGAAAATAATGTAATTTGTGGGTTGTCATCTGTATATTGCTTCAAAATATATTTTGTTTAATGTTTCAAGTCTCTGTATAGTGAATTCATGGAGAGCCTATATTTGAGTATTGCTAAAAAATGACATGTTTTGTCTAAGTTTTACATCTTCAGGACAATCGCAGAAAGAATACCAGTTTAAGGGCGCTGTTCTCTGCAAATAGAATATGGACATGCATAACACTTGTTTCAACTCAACAAAATAGATCACAGCCTTTTACTAGTTCATTTCTCAAAGCAATGCCTGTACCAATCAGGTAACTTGTCTGGTTTAAACTTTAAACCATGCCTAGCAGTTAAATAACAGTCATTATTAACTGCTGCACTTTACATGAGAAAGTCTCTACCAATCAGAGTCCACTTTGCAATCGTTCAGGATTCTCCTCCCATACAGTATAAGTACTTTTTATTCTTCGTAAATAGGTCGTCTTGCATTTTGCTGTGATGAAAAGCTTCAGCAAAATGTCTTTTTCTGTAACATTCAAGTTCTGTACTACCAAATGACTATTAGTAAAACCTATGTTACTAAAGATGAACCCCTGAGATGGAGAGACTGCCTTACGAGAAGATTGAGGAAACTGAACCAGTATTTTCTAGAGATTCAAAAGAAAAAGGTGATCTCACTGAAACCTAAATTTTTACAAGGCATAACAGGGTAGATACAGGAAGGTTATTTCACTGATTGGTGAGCCTAGACCAAGAGACCTAGTCTCAAAATAAAGGACAAGTCACTCAAGATTGAGAAGAGGAGGAATGTCTTTGCTTGGAGGATATGAATCTTCACAATCCTCCTGAGGGGATTTTTGAAATTTAATTGTTGAACACATTCAAGACAGAAGTTGATAGATTTCTAGATACTAATGATATCAGGGAATGCGGGAGTATTGGTTGGCGGTGGGGGGGGTGGTGGGAATGGCATTAAAGTAAATTGACAGTTATGATGTGTCAAATAGTAGACCAGGCTCGACTGGCCCCATGCCCTTCTCCCTTTCATATTTTTCATTGTGGTATGTTCCTAATTGTGGCTGTTTATGTTTTTTTTTAATTCAGGTGGACAACTCTAATTACCAAACTTAGAGCTCCTCTGTGGACTCTTTTGGTTTCTAAATAGCAACACAGATGCATTTCAATTACTGTTATCAACTTGAGTAAAAGTCGAGCTTCTAAAACTAAATGTTTAATCAAAAAGTAAGATTTGACTTTTACATGAGCATTACTTTAGAGAGGATGAAATTCACCAGCCCTCCCAACCATATCACATCATGATCATATTTGTAGGTCAGAAATGTTCCCATCTATCCCGCCGCCAAAAATGGTTCTAGAAGCCAAAAAGTATTTTTATTGAATTTTTTTTTGTAAGGAATCGCTCTGGAGACATTTTTTTGTTGAACTTACTTTACACAAGTGCTATATAATTTATACAAGTTCAACATATTTTCCCAGTACAGTAAAGGATAAGACTTAGCTGCGTTGCATACACAGAATGTGAATTAAAATCTATAAAAATTACCCTCCTCATCTTCAGAAGCAAGTAACAAGTCCCAATCTGCTATTTGAATTGCGTTATAAAATAGATCTGTAATCAGCAACCATGTCATCATTGGCCATTTCGTTCCATAAATAATGACCTCCTGTGCTATAAAGTGCCTCGGATATTTCATTTTTCCTGAATAATTTGACAATGTCCGTTCTTGCTTATGTCAGAGCCCCTGTGCTCTTTTGAATGTTCTCTCCTCTGATATTCCAGTCATTAGTTTTTTTTTGTATTCATATCTTGTCATTACAAAATTCAGAGGAAGCTTTAACATCTCTTTTTCCTAAGACAGCAGTAACATTTGAGTGCTAGGTCATACTGTACAGCTTCAGCATGCTGTGCTCCCAAAGCATCAGTCATTTTCTTGGACACTGCACTGAATAGTTGCTGAGTTGATCTTGGTACCCGATTATAATAACTCGGCATTTGAATCATTACTGCATTTTCATGTTGGAGACTGTATTGAATGTATATTTTTAAATGCAATTTTCTTTCCTTGCACGCTAGGTTATTATAAACAATGCTGCTGGAAACTTCATCTCGCCCTCGGAACGACTTTCTGCTAATGCTTTTAAAACTATTGTAGATATTGTTCTTAATGGTTCTGCATATGTAACTCTAGAAATTGGAAAAGAATTGATTAAAGCAAAAAAAGGTGAGGAAAACATTTTGGTGCTTTAAAACTTAATGTAAAAAAATCTTCAAGTACAGAACAAAATAGCAGATTGCATGGATTCAATGCTTATGAGGGCTGTAGTTTCAGTTCTCACTTCCGAATTCAAGTCCATAGTCTCGACTGACACTTCAGTGTTAATTATTGGATCATTTGATAAAGTGGGACCCTGCTTGCTTGTTTGCATGTAAAATGATCATGGTAGTTTCTGCTGCTTATTTTTAAATTTGAAATATGTTTGTTTATAAAGCAGCGTGTTATTTCTAGGATTGAAATACTTCAATTTTAGTCATCAGCATCAGATGCTGTCAGGACGGGTCTAAAAAGTCCACTAGCAATGTAACTATGCCCTAAGGTTATCGCCAACCAGACACGAACCTGGACTAGCCATATCAATACAGTGGCTGCAAGAGCAGGCCTAGCACTAGGAATCCTGCACAGATTAGCACAACTTCTAACTCTCCAAAGCCTGTCTACCACTAGAAGGCACAAATCGGGAGAGTGATGGAATGCTCCCACTTTCCTGAATGAATCAGCTCCAACAATACTCAAGAAGCTTGGCATCCTCTTGAGCAAAGCAACCTTCTAGCTCGGCACCACATCTGCACACACCCATTCCCACCTCCACCAACATGAGATAACAGCAGTATGTACTATTTACAAGATCCACTGCAGAAATTCATAAATGTTCTTAGATCGTACCTTCCAAGCTTATGGCCACTATCACCTGGAAGGATAAGGGCAGTAGATACAGGTTCCCCTCTAAGCTATTGTCAATTCTGACTTGGAACTATGTCACTGTTCACTGTCACTGGGTCAAATTCTCAGAACTTCTTTCCCAGTAGCATTGCGGAGGTACTTCCATTAAATGGACAGTAGTGGTTCAAGAAGGCAGCTCACCACCACCTTCTTGAGTGAAACCAGGGATGGGTGATAAATGCTGGCCAGCCAGTGAAATTCAAATCCCATGAAAGAATACACAATGAGTACAATTTTAAATGTGGAAAATACAGAATGCAACTGTTTCATAAATTGTTACAGGATCAGAAGGAAACTGTTTTCAGAGTTTACAGCTCATTTAATGTATGCCCCTCTGAGTGAAGATTTTCTATACTGCAGTAGTTTGTCGGACATTAACTGTTTCAAGAACATAAATTTACAAGGATTTTTTCTTTTGGTATTCCTGTATATTTATTTTAAGAATGTTTAATTACTTGCTGAGTTCCAAAACATTTGTGTCTTTTAGGTGCATGTTTCCTCTCTGTTACTACCATCTATGCAGAGACTGGATCAGGATTTGTCATGCCCAGTGCCTGTGCAAAAGCGGGAGTGGAAGCCATGAGCAAGTGAGTTATAACAAATATTTTGCATAAGCTTAACTGTGTATCTGTCAGCATTCCTTGTTATTGTAAGCTTAATTGATCAACAACTTTTAGTATGTGCATATCTGCAGTATAATGCAGAAACTGTAGGTTGCTGCCTGATTTCTTCTTGCGCTTTCACAAACTATGCTATAACTAATGTACTTCACTGATTGGTTCAGGATTGAAGCATCTATGAGTGTGAATTTGAGAGTCAGTGACCTAGTGATATTATCACTATTATGTTAAAATGTAGAGAACCAAGTAATATTCTGGGGACCTCTGTTCAAATCCTGCCATAGCAGATAGTGGAATTTGAATTCAACATAAGTCTGGAATTAAGAGTCTAGTGACGAACACGAAACCACTGATCATCAGGAAAAACCCATCTGATTCACTAATACCATCCTTATCTGGTCTGGCTGCACTGGCTTTCATGT